CTTTTGCTGCTCAGATCCAAAGCCAGGTGCCAGGAGCCTAGTCTGGGTCTCCCATGCAGGTGCAGGGTCCCAAGGCTTTGGGCCATGCTCAACTGCTTTCCCAGGTCACAAGCAGAGAGCTGGATAGGAAGCAAGGCTGCCGGGATTAGATCCAGCACCCATCTGGGATCCCAGCGTATATAAAGCTACTAGGCTATAGCATCAGGCCCAAGCATATCAGTCTTATATAAATACGTATTTACATATTTCTGAACCTATACTATATGATTACTTAAATAACAAATAGGATGTCTGGGCCTGGCATGAGGGTTCAGTGGCTAAATTCTAGCTTTGCATGCCTGGGATCTCATATGGGCACTAGTTCATGGCCTGGCTGCTTCACTTCCCATCCAACTCCCTTACTGTGGCCTGGGATGGCAGCAGAGGATGCCCCAAAGCCTTGGGACCCTGTACCCGCATAGGAGACCTGCTAGAAGCTCCTGGCTCCTGGTTTCAGATCAGGCCAGCTCTGGCCGTTGGGACATTTAGGGAGTGAACAACTGATGGAAGATCTTTCTCTCGGTCTCTCCTTCTCTCTGTAAATCTGATCTACTTTTCCAATACAAATAAATACATCATAAAAAAAAACCAGGATGCCATAATGTCTAAAAACACTTTTCTCATCTGCATACTATTCCTTAATGGGAACGTGCTGTGGTTTAATTTGTTCTTTCTTGTTGAATATTGTAACTTTTAGCAGCTGTTTTAAAGAAAAAAGAAATGAAAAGAAAAACCAATGCTGTTAAATATACTACGAGTACATGTATTTTTGAAGGATAAGCCAGGAATTGAAACTGCTGGATTAAATGGAAGGGTAAGTATATTCTAAATTTTTCCAGGTATTAACAAATAATCAATCAAAACCATACAATTCTCCTCACTCCAACAAACTGTCTCCTAATGCGTTTTAAATGCACACAGGTCTGGTGTTGAGCAAACTTCTAGAAGCAAAGCTTGGCAACAAATCACTATGCCTAAAGTAGAGTGGGAACTAATATTTACCAAGTGCTTAAGTGCCAAACGTGGCACTTGACCCTTGAATATCTCAATAATGCAACAATCTTGGCAGGTAACAATATCTGCATTTTCCAAGAGTAAATTGAGGCACAGAGAATTTACCCAGTGTTCCACAGCTTCTACAAACACCAATATTTGAACCCAGGACACCAACCATCCTGATATTAACATAGTACCATCCCAAACTGCGGACAAAATGAGCGACTGTTTTAAAAGGCAACGCTTGATTAACCAGGGAGAAGACAGTTCCCAAATATTTGCTCAAGGGCTCAAATGCTAATTTCACGCTCCTGTAGCGAATCCCATCTTCCCCCCTTTCAGACTCTGCCTAGGAGCCCGCTCTCAGGCTGTGCTTAGCTAAGCAGCTGATACAGCAAAGAGGTCACACAGAGCCCACCAGCTACAGAGCTGGAGTGGTAACCCATCTTTGTGAAGTTGCCAGGCACGAAGCAGAAAGGAAGTGATACTCAGGCGGTGGACTGGCACAACAGCATCAGAAGTTTCTGAACACTTAATCTGTTGTTACAAAAACGTTATGGGGGAAGTAGATTGACTGTACACAGGAAAGAGAGAGCGGGAGCGAGAGCCCCCAGTAACTAACATTATCTGCCTTACCCCTGTTCAAACATATGCAGGGCTCCCTAACACTAGGATGGCACCTAAACACACACACACACACAGCCAGCTGGGAGCTCTCCAGCCTAACAAAACAGGTAAGGCAGGTGTCAGCCAAGTGCCTTGCTGCTTCCTGGCAGGGCCCGGGGGCTGCTTTCAACGTCCCTGGAGAAGTGGGTCTGCAGGCAACTTGTAGTGTAGCTGTGCCAGCCAGATGCCAACAAGAAGGCCTATAACTGTCCCTGAGTCGGGGACGGGAGTTTCCTTTCTGTTGAAACGTTAAGCATTCGCAGTGTATCTCTTGTCCTTGGGTCCTCTGCACCCAAGCAAGTGCTTCAGGGAATGTATTTAGGCACAGCTCCTCATGGCCGCCACACCTCTTCTCTGGAGACAAAAAGGAGGGAAAGAGGAGAGGAAGCCAAACCCCTTTCTTGCCCAGGGTTTTGCTTGTTTGTTGTTTTTTCTCCATTTCAGGCACACAGTTCTAGAAGTCTCACAGGTGCAGCAAACAATGGAAAGCTCACAGAAAACTATCAGCATCATGGGATTCCCATAGGAAGATGTGGACGTGAGATTGAGTGCTTTTAAGGGACACATACGGACACACTATAGTTGATTTCACTTGCACGGTTCAAAAAGCAAAAAGCACAGGAGATAAGCGGTAACATCTGACCAGCTCATTCTTCTCTAAGGTTGTGGCCTGCACATATTCGTCCATTCAGGTTTAACTACTACAGCTCTCTTTCAAATTACTGGTAGTTTGGCATAAAATTAATTTTAAAACACTCCTTCAAAATGATTAGCACTAAAATTCACAGTTCAACGGCCTCATTCATACAAATCTGCCTACATTGAAAACTCACATTGTTTACCTGCAGAAAACTAAGCCGAAGACCCAGCACACGGCACAAAAATGCTTCCTCAAGCTTTCGTGTCCTTTATTGCTCACAGTCAAGAGAACCATTACTCACTTCCTCTATTGATATCAGGAAAAATCTAATTCTTTACTAACAAAAAAAGAGAAGCTCTGAAAAATCTGTCCTGCATGCGCTTGAGTGTTCAAAGATTTGCCTGACGGTAGCCATCACTTCACAATCTTGGACAAAGTTTAAGGAAATTAGTGAACTAAGTTTTTAAATCAGAATGCCTATCCTCATAGTTTTCAATGTATAATAACTAGCTAACCAGATGAATTCAGGTGGGCAGATGGGGGAGAAGGGCCTTGAAGCAGATCCCATCCCTGAGCAAAAGACACCAACATTTTCTCATGATTACTTATGACCCATAGGAAAATATTAGCACTCAGCATAAGCTAGGACGCCATGCAGTCAAAAACGAAATTGCTGCATACATTTTAAAGTAACACTAAAACCCAGAGAGAACATCCTGAATGCTATGGGACGATGTCACCTTTTCAGAATAATCATTCATTAAACCAGCTTTGTGACATGGCTGTTTACAAAACAGGGCGGTACACTGTGGACCATAACTGTGGTGATGGGAAAGGATGAGGGGAGTTCTAAAAGGGCCTATTAGCAAAAGGAAAATTCCATGATCGTTTCTGAGCCTTAAAGGTAAAGGTGACTGAACTCCTAGAAACATGCAGGGCTCCTCTGAAACATATATCTTTAAGTCTCCCACTTCTTTTCCATATCTTTGGACCTGTATTTATGAGCCTGTCAAAGCTACCTCCTTTCCCACGTTTGTCCTGTAAATCTAGAAACTACTATATATGTTTTCCTTCTTGGCTACCTGTCGACCTGAACGGCTCAGAGTCAGTGGCATGAAATGACAATGTACTTTCTCTACTTGCTCTCCAGATGCTCAGGAAACCTGCCTGCTTATCTGAGGCCCTGGCCTCGGTCATTTGCCGCCAGCTGCCACAACACACGCAGCTCCAGAACAGTCAGACAGAGGTTCAAGGCTGACCTGAGCCCTCTCGTCTGCAGGAAGTAAACTTACTTTTAGACCTGGTTCTGTCTCAACTCAAGATCTGTTTACATCCTCTCAGGACTTATCCATGACACGGTTTATTGGAAAGGGCTTGGCCATGTGTGTCCCCCCCCCCACCCCGCACACAGCTGTCAACACCGAAATTGGAACCTTGAGAACAAAGCCCAGGGATCAGAGTAATTTTCACATTAAAGATTAAGGTGTCTGCTTTCCATTCTCTACCAGGGAACCCTGGGTGGAAAGTGAGTGGAGAGATCCCTCCAGCATTAAGTGATGAAGTACAAATGGTCCCGATTGAGAACAGCCATAAAGTGGACTCCAGCTACTGCCCAACCCAAAACCATCAATATCACCATGGAATTTAATTCAAACGGCAAATAGGTGCCTTCCGTTCGGAGTCACGGGGGGGGGGGGGGGGGGGGGGGCAGGGCTCACGGGAGAAGAGGGATGACTCAGACGATGGCTAAAGGACGACCTCCGCATTAGGACAGAAGATTGGCCCGGACCCCTGGGCCTATCACACACTGTGCACCATTAAATCCACAAAACGATAGTGACTTCAGCCCACTACTGTGGTTCCTTACATACTCACAACTGGATCCTTAAAGTCACTCCATGTTACCATGTCAGGGGATATAACTGCTCCTCTTGTTCTGAGAGGGCAAGTGATTGGATACAATTTCCCATCAGAACCTAAGAGCCTGAAGGCGGTGGAATTGTCTCCCCATCTATAGGCCTGTCCTGGTGGTGACACCTGCCTAGGGGTCCTGGAGCAGACTCGCTGATTTCAACACTATATGCTCTGACTGGATTAATCAGACCCCTGGGGAGACAGACCTCATACCTTGGGCACTCACTCGTTAAGACCATGACTGTGGCATCCAAAACAGGTCCCACAAGCCCAGCCTTGGAGGTGGCATCCAACAGGGCCCGGCTAGCCTGTACCCATGCCAAGAGCCACTTTCAGCCCTCGACCCTAGCGTCAACATGGCCTGTCTCTCTGGGCAGTCAATCACCTCCAGCAGCTCCCGTCCCCACACATAGACCCTCCGTGGAGCTGAACTGGGAAGGGAACGGAAGGCGGGGGGGAGGGGGGGGAGGAAAGGAATAAGGAAGAAGCAACGGGGAGCCACTGAGAACAGGAGCTGAGGGAACGGCCCCCTCCGAGCCTTTCATTTTCGCTGAATTTCAGGGCAGAAATGGGGTGGTATTCTTTGTAATGCTAATGGAAAGCCAGAAAATGCAGACAGTTGACCTTGGGAACCAACGTCGTGGCAGCAAACGAAACACGCTGGCAAGTCAAAGGGGGAGCCCGGCAGCTGGGCGGGTCAAGGAGGGGTGTACCGCCAGCGGTGGGTGCGGTAAGGGGTGCTCACCGTAGATCATTGCCAGCCCGGTCTCGTGCAGGAAGCGCACCCGGCGGTGCTTAAAGAGCCAGATGGTGAGGATGGTGAGCGTGAGCAGCAGGATGAAGGTGAGCAGGCTCACGCTGTCTTGCCGGTGGCTCTCCTCCGCCTCCTTCTCAGTGGCGAGCTCCTCCATGGCGCTGCTGTCCTCGGCCGCCGCCCCAGAGGAGGAGGCCGAGGCCCCGGCACGCAGCCCCCGACCCAGCAGCAGTGGCAGCAGCGGCAGCAACAGCAGCCGCGGCGGCACCTCACGAACTACCCGCCCCGGGCCAGGGTGCGCCGCGTCACCAGGCTCCATGGCCCCAGGGCCGCCTGCGCCTACCTCCGCACAGGGACCCAGAGCCCGCGCCGTCGGCGGGTTACGGCGGCGCCGCGCCGACCTGCCCAAGTGGCCACAGCCGCCGCAGCTCCTCCTCCTGCCAGCGCCGGGCCGGGGCTGCGCTGCGAGTCGCGCGCGCGAGGGGGGAGGGGCGCGCGCAGTGCGCAGGATCCCCAAGCACCGCCCCCCGCCCGCGCACCTGTTCGTCCCCCCGCAGTGCTGCGCCTCGCGCCGGCAGAGCCGCCAAGGCCGAGCCAGCTGTCACCCTCGGATCCGTGGGCCAGCAGCCGGCCCTTGGCTTCTCAGTGCTCTGCACTCAGCCCTTGGCATACCTGGCTTTGCCATGTGGAAACGAGTTCCTGGGCAGTCGCCACCCTGCTTCCCCAACGGGACGCCAGAGGTCGCCTACTCGTGGTGGGAGCCTAAGCTTGGATTTGCTCTTGTTGGCGGTCTGGAGTTCTATCTGGCGCTGCTGCGAACTGTATGATCCCTACGCAGTGTGTAGCTACCGGGAGCCCGAGAAAGTGGAAGCCACGTTATGATCTTCACCTCTTTTCTGATCTCGAGTGTAACCCCGGCACTCCATAATCGGATAGGGCTGCATTCAAACCTCTGCTGTAGCCTGATTTGACGTGATAAGATCGATAAGGGGTTGGAATCAGAGGAGGACGTTGAAATACGCCTGTCTTCAATTGAGGAATAGACTTGGCCTTTGATTCGGATCAGTGCAGCTAAGCCCTCTGGGGAAGAGTCTTAAAACTGAAAGAACTGAACGCTGATTAGTCTGAGTCCATAAACAGAAAGTGGTCCTGAAGCAGGGTACTTTGGTAAAGCTCTGCGGGAGAGTCTGATACCCCCATCACAGCCAGCTGAGTGTAAGCAGAGGGATCCTATAGCTGCACGGACCTAGCGCTCTGTCGGCCTCCCTACCTCTAGTCTAAAGCTGAGAAAGCCCCCGGCAGCCCCTCCCGCCCGAGAAGCGCTGGTGCAGCCACTCTGAATATCTCTTACAGGCTTTTTCTCTGAAACACTGGCAGTCTTAGCGAAAAAAGTACCACCTGTGGGATGCAAATGAAAAAGCATTTTGCTTCCGCTCGGATTGAAGCCCCTGACCCCCACCCCTCCAGGGTAAATCTAACATAGGTGAATTCCAGTTCACTGTAAATTTCATCCTCACTTCTGAAATCCCCGTATCACGTGGACCCCCTTTTAGGCCAGCAGAAGCCTTTGGGTGACTACTACCATTAAGCCTCTTGGAAGAAATCCTCAAGTACCAGAATTTTCAATCTACCTTGTTCCTGTTGTCCAGAAAGAAAATTGATCAACTTAATCACCGAGTTCCCAGTACTTAGTAGCACTCTGGCTATGTTTACTGAACCACTCCCAAATCTCCACCAACTCTTTAGCACTTCTGCATTTTTAAGATTTGTCGAAGAACGCAGTAATGGGATAACCAAAAAGAGGAGAAAGTTAGCATCTGTAGGCAAGCCATACAGACCATCACAGCTTTCAGTTCTCCCCTGAGCGCATGCTCTACCAAGCCTGCTTAGCATGTAGAGTGCTCCATCTCACTGTCAACATCTTTCCCTACTGTTCCCAGTGCTCACCCAGCCTCTGGGGGGAGGGGGCAGTGGAGAGTAGAGCTTGAAGTTCTACGCAGATTTGAAATTTGCAAATTTTAAAAAATTGCAAATATTAAAAACCTGATTGGTTACAGAGAAGGATCTCTAGCAATGAGAATATTAGATCTAAATTCCCAAAGACTCACTAAAATACGTATTTACTGCAAACTGGCTTATTAACTATATTACACCCTCTTGTGTTCCCAGAAATCAAGGGCATAACTTCTGTCTATAGCTCACACTACAAGCAACTCAGGAACTACATTAAAAGTACAGATTTGGGGTGCAGCACTGTGACACAGTGAGTTAAGCCACTGTTTGCCATGCCAGCATCCCATATCAGAGTGCTGGGTTCTAGACCTGGCTGTTCCACTTCCAATCCATCTCCCTGCTGATGTGCCTGGAAAAGCAGCAGATCATCCAAGCACTTGGGCCGCCGTCACTCATGCAAGAGACTCGGAGTTCTAGGCTCTTGGTTTTGGTCTGGTCTAGTCCCAGACCATACCTGGCCTTTGTAGCCATCTGGGGAGTAAACCACCTAGCTACAAAGAAAGAAGATTTTTTCTTTCTCTCTCTCTCTCTCTCTCTCTCTCTCTCGCTCTCTCTCTCTCTCTCTCTCTCTCTCTCTCTCTCTCTCTGTGTGTGTGTGTGTGTGTGTATGTGATTCTCATAGGGCTTAGCCAGTAAACAGTATTTGAGTCAGTGACAATGCAGGAAGAATCACCCTCAGGTGCTCAGGAAAACCTGACTCTGATTGAAGCAGCTGTAGTCTCAAGACTGTGTAGGTAAACCCACCCAGTGAGATAAAGACGGAAATGGAGGTAGAGACAAAGAGAGAGAGAATTCGAAAGGAATGGGTACTCCTTTTACCTGATTCATTTCCCCAAATGTCTGCAACAGCTAAGGTCACAACCAGGAACCAAGAATTCTATCCAGGCCCCCCACGTGGGCATCAGGGACCCAAATACTTGAGCCAAAATCAGCTGTCCCAGAATAAAATAGCAAGAAACTGGAATCAGGAGCAGAGCCAAATTCAAACCCAGGTACTCCAATGTGAATTCAGGTGGCCCAAGAAGCATCTTTTTATAAAAGCAGAGCAACAGAGAGAGGGAGAGAAAGAGAAATGAGAGAGAGAAATGAGAGAGAGAACTTCCATCCACTAGTTCACTCTCCAAATGCCTGCAGCAGCCAAGGCTTGGCCAGGCTGAAGCCAGGAGCCAGAAACTCCATCTGGGTATGCCATGTAGGTGGCAAGGAACTAATTATTTAGGCTGTCACCTACTGCCTTCCAGATGCAAAGCAAGAGGCTGGATCAGCAGTGGAGGTGGGACTTGAACCCAGGCATTCTGGTATCCAGTATGGGTGTCCCAAGCACTTAAGCCACTGCTACAATGCTTGCCCCCACCTAGGCAGTGTCTTAACCACTATAGCAAATGTCTCCTGCCTCAATTATCTCTCCTCTCTTTCTCTCTTTTTATCTCTCTCTCTCTCTCTCTACCTTACTTTCCCTCCTTCTCATCCTATCCCTCCTGCTTACCCCCAGACATGGGCAAAGCTGCAAACAGTACATAACAGGAAAAAAGTCACTAAAGACCCAGATTTGTCACCAGTGAATCAAAAGGGAAATTCCAGCCACTGCAAGTACCAGGGAGAGTGCAAAGAGGCAGGCTCAGGAAAACAGCCCCATGCCATTCTTCATGAAATCCTACACTTACCCTCACCCACATACAGATCTGACCCCCAAACAGCGCAGCAAAGATCGTGACCACGGAAATAAGAAACAGATCATAACTCAGGCTGCAGAATAGTCCCTGGATAAAACAGATGAAACAGATATGAAACAGCTCTGCAAAGGCTTTGAGAACGACATGGGCTTTGGAGCCACAATCCACAAAAGGTAGATCAGAACTTGTGCTCTAAATCCAAACATGTTGATTACAAATAAAACAAAATTGTAACTATCCCCCCCAAATGATTAAAACAAAGTCCCATAATGTAATATTCAAAAGTTTCAAATTACAACCCCAAATTATTCAGCAACCAAAGAGCCATGAAAAGCTTAACTCAAGAGGGAAGAAGCTGAGGTGACAGAAATTATCTTTAAAAAAAAAATACTTTAAAGCAGTGTATGGAATACTCCAACAAGACAATATTGAATGCAAAACGTTATTAAAGGACCAAATTTAAATTTTGTAACTGAGAAATATAAATAAGAAAAAAATTTAAAGTTGCCAGATAGACACAATAGCAGAATGTAGTCAGGAACAATTGAGAAATACATGAAGAGCTAAAGGCCCTGTAGGATAAGATAAGATTTTACGTTTGTGTCTTTGGAGTTTGGGGTGGAGAGAAAAAAAAATAGATAGATAGACACACAGCTAGATTATATAATTGAAAACTTTCTAACTTAGCAAAAGAAATGAAGCTACAGATTAAAGGACTTTAGCAAACAGGATAACCCCAAAAAATTAATGGCCAATCACATGCATGTTATATTCAAACTGCTGACAAGTAAAACAAAGAAAATGTCTTTAAAGCAGAAAGATAAAAATGATGCATCATATTTGAGACAATTCAAATTGACTGTGGGTGTCTCATCAGAGACTTTGGAGGTAATAAAAATCACATATCATTTTTTAAATGTGGGAAAAGCTCTCAACCCAAAATAGTGTACTCAAAGAAAGAGAACTTTCAAGGCAAAGAACACCAAGGTCACACAGTATCTTCTAGAAAGTGTCAGAGAAACGGACCCTTCCCACCTTTTATGAAGTCAACATTAGCCTGATGAAAAACCAGACATGAAAAAAAAAAGCCACAAGTATCTCTCATGAGCTTAGATATAAATGTTCTCCAAAAAATGTGTCCAACAATGTGTAAAAAGAGCTATTCACCACAACCAAGTGGCATTTATCCAGGAATTACAAGGCTGGTTCAACGTGAGAAAACCCATCAATGTAATTCACCATATCAACTATCTAAAGAAGAAAACTCACATGATTGTATTTCTTGATGACGAAAAAGCACTGGACAAAATTCAACATTCATTTGTGATGATAGCTTTCAGCAAAATGGGAAAGATCATGTACCAAGCGAAACCACAACCAGCATCAATCTTAAAGTAAAAGACTGGATTCTCTACCCCAGCACCCAGGCAAGAGCAGGAAAGAGGGAAAGAAGGTTCGCTACTACCACTCATCACTCATATTCAACATTGTGTGTTGGAAGTCCTAGACAGTGCAAAGCAGAAAAGAGAAACAAAAGGCATACAGAGACAGCAAAATCCACAATCTATAAGTTGAAATGGAATGCTAGAAAGCAGAAGGACATAAAGCAGAGCCAAAAGAAAAGGAAACGGGAGTTGGGACAGTGGGGTTGCAGCAGATAGAGTGGCAGCCTGCGACGCTGGCATCCCATAGGAGCCCCAGTCTGGGTCCTGGCTGCTTCACTTTCAATCCAGCTTTCTGCTAACATGCCTCACAAAGCAGCAGAAGGT